GATCAAACAGCGTTAAACTCCGAATCGGTATCCAAAATGCTCCTAGACTTTCTCCTACAACCGCCTGGAACCTAGACACCTGTTATAAGCAAAGGGTTACTAGTGTTCACTTAAGGTCAGTGACAGTGTCTGATCTTAAGAACATCACGGTGAACAAATATCTTCGAGATAATTTTGACTTAGAATTTAAATAATCGTCGATGATTACACCAGGCGGTGCGTTACGGAACACAAAACGTTTATCTGGATCATTTTAGGCTATTGATCTACTCTGACCTTTAATAAGTCCGTGAATGACGTATGTTGCGGCACCTGTCATCAATAAATTCAAAATGAGTATCAGAAACTATCCCAAAGCACAAGCCCTCCAGTAAAAATATCATGTCATTTTGGACCCTGGTGTGACTCTCAAACTTTACTCAATTTCATGAAAGTCTTTTCATAATCCTGGGTTAGTTGTCTCATTGCCTCAGAAACTACTTCAGATTTGTATGGTTTTGTCTAACACACCGCTGTTGCATAAGGTTAAACTTTTCCCTAGAAATTGCCTTCTCTGACAGTCACGGCCTGCCTTTGACCTCCCACAGGCCAGCGACCTTACAAGCTACATCTTAATCAAACGATCCGCTATTTGATTGCCCGCAGCTATGCAAAGTTTGACGCTGGCACGTCGAGCGGTTCTGAAATTTGACTGGAAAAACCTTCCGGGGTCAAATTGACTACCATTCTACCCAAGCGCGTGCTAAATGACTGCATAAAGGTGGGGCCAATCCCACTACTTACCGCACTCAATTATTACTATATTACTATATTAATTACTATAAGGGAACTCAATGAGGTGCATGAAACATGTATATGTAATACCAGGCTCGCTCTCCTCACAACCGGCCATTAAATCCGACAAAGATTGAAAAAGACATTTCATGCAAATTCAGTATGACGGCGAGTCTAATACCAGCATAACAATAAATAATAAATGCGTGTCAAGTCCTCCGCAGAGGGGCAATATCCCAGCACTTAAAGCGAAGAGGGTGTACGGATTTCTACCTGTACGGATTTCTAGGTATACGGATAACATGACGTTTTTTCTACAGCACATTGCAGTGAACTACCGCGGCTTGGTGTTGGCGAGTTCTCCCCGTATATTGTCATCACGTGACTGTGGGACATCCACAATCATGAAAATTTGTCCAGTCTCAACCCTCCGCTGACAGGAGCTAAATAATCAGTCGTTGCAAACAATGGTGCGCCGAAGCAATCTCTCACCAAATATTGTACTCAAACAACTAGCGGCCAACGACGCGTTGTACTGACCTCAGATGCGTGCAATATTCACTATCGCACGGATAGGCTCTTCGCACGATATCTACGGATTCATGCAGATACAGATACACATGCAAATATGCGTACAGATACTCGTACAGATATGCTATATGATGCCTTCATTCATGATCCCATCGAATCAACTCGTTAGGAAGCCGAGTTAAGATAACATGCCACGCCACAGCTCAGTGCTAGTCCACAAAGATCCCGGTAGTGCGGCCAGGTTTCGGATGTACGCCATCGGCCGTTGGCTTCTCCCGCGGAGCTGGCTGTGTCACTCACCTGCCGATGGAGCTGGGGCTGAAGCTGCCGATGGGTCATCGGCGGTCTCCCGCTCGTCTGCGCCCTACTGACCTGCCGATGGAGTTGGGGCTGGGACTGCCAACGGGTCGGCAGCGGTCTGCCGCCCGTCTGCGCCCTACTGACCTGCCGATGGGACTGGGCCGCAGCGCCGCCGGACGCCTGGTGTCGGAGCCGATGGTGTAGACGCCAGGCCGGTGGAGCGGACACGCGACCCTCGGCTGCTGCTCGCCCAGACGCAGCCGGCGGGTGCGCCTGAAAATCACATCACCGGGCAGGCATTTCACCTGCAGGATCGCGGAGGACCGGGCTGTGGCTCGCACGCCGCGGGTGGGCCCCCGAGGGGCCATGGGGCCTGCGGGTCGGGGGCAGCGGACGGGGGCTGCCGGCGCGCCGGCCGGCAGCGCGCGACTGGGCCGCCGGAGCGCGACCGCTCTGGCGGGCGACACCGCAGCTGCAGCGAAAGCCGCACGTGCCGACGCAGACGACAGCCCTCGACGCTCGTCCCATGGTGCTCGGCGATGAATGGCCGACTTTCGAACCGCCGTTGAAAGCGAAAGCGCGAACGGTATCGGGTAGGTATGTACTTGTGCGGCGTGCGATTACTGGCTTGTGGCGGTTACGGAGCGCACAAGCTTGACCTAACCCGTCATGGTGTCTCCATATGTCATCTCCCTCGTTGCGCGCGGCTGCACTTGACATGAAACTGAAGCACAGAATCTGCCACACATGAATATGATGGCTCCAGGAACATGTCACGCCCGCGTACTGACCTTCGTCTGATGCGTCGGTAGCCTTCCTCGTCACCAAACGTCCAGCGACGGGGCACCTGCACCACCCACTTAAACGACGCCGGCATGCTGGCCGGCGTCCGAGCAGAAACACCGGCCGGTCAGCGGCACGGACCTGCCCTGACCTCCCCTGCCCGCGGCGGGGACCCGAGGCCCGCCGCCCCCAGCCTGTCGCAACGGCCGAGGTCAAGAGCAGCCTCCCGGCCGCGATTGTGACACGGCCCGTGCAGGACACTGCAGCCATGGTGGGACACCAGCACCACGGGGCGCGAACTGGCTGGCGGTGAAGCGGGCGGGCTGAAGCCGACGAGTCGCCAGCTGGACTTGAGCTCACGAACAAGACGCGGTGGCCAGCGCCAATGGGCGCTGGGCGGCCAGCGGCGGCCGCGGCACCTCGGTGTCACCCCGCGGCGGCGGCGGCGGCCGCGTGACGACCGTCACGCCGCGTGACGGAGCCGTCCATGACCCGTCACGCGGCACGCCGGGCCGGCCGGTGCCCGTGGCAGCGGCGGTGACCTCCGTCCGCCGTGACTGGCTCGGTCTCCCCGACTCACGGATCGGCCGTGCACTGGTGCGCCAGCCGACTCTGCCAGCAGAGCCGCCACTGGAGCTGCAGTCCATGCAGGCGGCCGCGCACTGGCGGTGAGTGCGTACCTCTCGATGGTCGCTGCCAGTACATTAGCACATGCAGTTTCGCTTCTCGCGTCTTGTGTGCAGCCGCTGTCGTCTCTTTGGACGCTCGCGGTCGCGCATTTTTAAAGGCTTTTGTGCGGCAAGAACGTCAGTTGCGTCCCATTATTGATGAGTGTGATTGAAATTAGTGACAGGACTATTGCAGCTGAATGGTCTGTAAGTCGCTGCGGAGCTTGATAGCGTAGACGCTTGCCCTGACTGTTTTGTGTTTTTTTTACGTTCTTCTGAAACACTGCATTCTTTTGAGATAATGTGCAGCGCAATAGATAGAGAGAGAGAGAGAGAACGAGAGAGAGAGAGAGAAGAAGAAGGAGAAAAGAGAGAAGAGAGAGAGAGAGAGAGGAGAGAGAGAGAGAGAGAGAGAGAGAAAGAGAAGAGAGAGAGAGAGAGAGAAGAGAAGGAGAGAGAGGAGAGGGAGATATATATATATAATATATATGTATGATAAGTGTAAATATATATATATATAGTATATATTATATATATATTATATATATATATATATATATATATATATATATATATATATATATATAAGTTTGATGCTTTGACTTTTTTCTTCCAACTAACAGAGGCAAGCGACCTCCGGTATTTAGAAGAGCGCCCACGAGCTGTGATCCGAAGAGCACGTGCTACCTTGAGTTGGCAACGCTGGGGTCTGCGCCGCTATAGTTTTACTAACATGTGCTGTTGTTTCGCGCCATACCCCCAATAAGGGAAAATTTGTATATATTTTAATCAGCATCTGAGTACATATGCGCGCCACGTACACAGCAAGTCCAAGACGATAGGTCTTACGAGTCAGTGCTGACAGACCATAAGATGTATCTTGGCAACTGCCCGTAGATGCATATCCACAGGCAGTGCAAAACGAATGGGACTGACTACCTTCCATTCGTCAAAATCTGTTGACGGTCTGTTGAGGAACCACCAAGCGTGTTAAACACATCGTCGTTGTTTCGCCTCTGCGCGTGTTCGTGATGCGTTGGCATCGTGATGCATAAGCTTAGAAAGAAACAAAATGCCTTTAAATCGCTTCACAAGTCGCTTTCCTACTCCAGAGGAAAGGGACAGAGTCTTCGCGTTCGCTTAATGCTCCGCACGACCTGTGGCCAGTGAAAGTCAGCGATGATGCCTTCAAGCCGTTCATGTACACCCAGGCGGCAGTTCGTTACGCCACTAGATTTTGCATCGACTGACGCGATTCTAGCGTACAAGTGACTTTTTGAGACCTGTACTCGCCTGGCAGGCAAGCCAGACGTGCAGAGTGATACCGGATGCCTGAGACGGGTGATATCGAATAGCGGACATGTAGTAACTGCAGCCATGGCTCGTAGTTCTATGTAGCCAATGTTTTAAACAGCCTTAACACAATAGTGAAAACTGCGATGCGTCCATGTGACGGATGGGAGCTGGTTCCGGTACAAAGGCACAGAGCCGTTTGATGAGTTTATCATGCAGCTGTAACAAGGCGAAATGGTTGGAGCCATCAAATGCGAAGACACCAGCATTTTGCCATTGCCATACCGAGAGGACGTGACCTGGCCGTGAAGTAAGGAAACGAGGCTCCCGATGTAGAAAGGAACGAGCCCCAGCTGGAAGCGCAACAAGTGTTCCGCTGTCATGAGACGGGATCATGCGCTCCAGATCGACTGATCGGTGAGACCGCACCATGTTGAGACCCCCTCGGCCTGTCCCAAGGAAAGGACGAAAGCTGCGCCGAGGATAGAACAGGACGGGACTCTCGAGGGATTGCAACCAAATATTGAATGGACATGGCAAAGCTCTGGAGAGAAAAGAACCCGCCAGGAGGTGTCCACAGCACTAAAGGGCAAAGAGCAGAATAATAAGGCACTACTAAGCTTAAGAAAAGTGATTAAAACAAAATAGCTCTTTCCTATGTATTTATGTAAATGCCACGTGAGCCAAAACGATTCCCAACGCATCTGCCTAAAACACGATTCAAAAATCATCACGCTATCAAAATATCCTTGGTGAAGTAAAAATTGCGCCTTAGATGCACAGTCCTCGCCTCGCACATACCTAAGTTAATAATATCTAAAAGCTGCAATATCGACGAGAAAGAATGGCACGTCACTGCCAACGTAGCAGTGCCACTCGACTACGAGTGCCATGCGGAAAAGATGTAAACAGCGACCACTCCTACAACGCATGTGAACGGTCTGTTTACGCACCGGGGGCGTATGGCAGTTTCAGAGGTTCATCTGCGCCTTCTCACCACGACAAATGCTGCGGAGTCCCGCCATGACCACGGCTTCCTCACGCCAACGCACTGGCATGAGAGGTGCTTCCTAGCTTCCTGAGAAGCACGCAGAGAAAGCTGCGCCTCACAGAAAACACAGCTTCCTATTCACGGCCGGTACCATTTCACAGCGTCTTTGTCCCACTACCCAGCCGCCGATGAGTAGCGGCCTCACTCAGTACGTGCTGGAGCGGACTGCTGGGCTGCGGCGGGCACGCTGCAGCAGGCAGGCGTCCGTCCAGGCGACCGGTTCGTCCCACGGGTCCACGCCGGATGCGTCCACCTCAGCCGGCGCGCCGCGCCACCGGCCGGCCATCGCCAGCCAGGTCACAGGTCGCCGTCACCGGCCGGTCTGGTGGGCTCACTCCCGTCCCAGGTCGGGCGAGCGAGCTCGCCCCCGTCCCAGGTCGGCGCCACCGACCGGGCCGGCGGGCTCGCTCCCGTCACAGGTCGGGCGAGCGAGCTCGCTTCCGTCACAGGTCGGCGTCACCAGCGGGGTCAGCGGGCTCGCTCCGGTCCGACCGCAGCTTGTTCACCCGCCGCAGTGTGCTGAGCACCTTATCGCGGTAGTAGGACTCCTTGTACAAAGGCAGGGACGTCGGAGCGGCAGCGAAGCGTTGAGGCCGCGGCCCCCTCGACCGTGGTCTGACCCGGTGGGCACGGCTTGCACGCCGCCCTGAGGGCAGGCGCAGGGTCACTGTCCCGTGGCGATAAGAACACAGGCGCCAAGAGGCAGGGCGTGTGTTGGTGGCGAGAGTGGAAGTGAACAGGCCGCCGCCATGGTTAGGCCCGCCGAGCGTGTGCTGGTGGCGAGAGTGGAAGTGAACAGGCCGCCATCATGGTTAGGCCCGCCGAGCGTGTGCTGGTGGCGAGAGTGGAAGTGAACAGGCCACCACCATGGCTAGGCCCGCCGCTTTCGCTCAATAATTGGCAAAGTGATGCTTGATCAGAGTGGAGCGTCAGTTTTTGTGAATTATTTTGGGGATGACTGAGCCAAGGGCTCGGCGATTTAACTTCGTAGATATTCATGTTTCTTGTCGGATAAGCCCACCTTATTTTCACGAAGAGCAATCCTTTTTTCAATTTTCACATTTATTACATATTCCAGCAAACAACGCCCAAAGAATATAGACCTCGTGTGGGCGGATGCAAAGTCACATGGAAAGGGTTTAAGGGGCGCGGTCACGATCCTTACACAAAACAAAACAAATTGGCACCGATGTGGTGTTATGCAGCATTAGATGCTTTGGCGTCATCGATTCTTTGCAAATCCCCCGCTCCGAGGTCAGGAAAGCGAGACATTGTGCACGAGTAAGACAGACGTGGAGTGTGAAACGGCACAGTAGTGACAGACGTGTGTCAACAGCTCAGGATACTGCAAGGGGCGCGGAAGAGCTACCCAGTGAAGAGCTATCCAGTGAATCCACAAAGGTCAAAGAGACGCAATATGCCACATTGGCACCGTCTGCAAGAGCGCCACATGTAAACCCCACCGTGTTTAAATGGCAGAGGTCGTCGACCGTCGTGACAGTTCGGCGGCGGCACGCGGTCACTTACTGTGCGAACTCCTCCTGGTATGTTCCGATTGGACAGTGTACGCAGGACTGAGCGCCTCCTTGGCCGTACATCCCGGGGGGACATGCCACTGTAACGGACGCGGGCCGGGCTGAGCTGACTGCCGCCGCGGTCCCAGCGATGTATCGGCCAGGCCAGCGCCCCAAGTAGCGCAGAGCAGCATCACACCACGGCAGTGATGAGACCGCAGCTTATCCGGCTCGCACTCACAGCGGTTATCATTAATCATCGCACAACGGCAGGGCCTGACTAAGGTGGGTGCCACTCGAAGCTGATCTTATTGTATCCGTCGATTGGAACCCGCGCTGGCTGCCCGTGACGCTCTGATGCTTCATTGCGATCGCATGTAACGAAGGTTTTGTTGGAGTGAACCACTCACCGCATACATCTGCAAAGCCTTTCCGTATTTCGAAGCCGGGCAGACAATCAGCTGTCTTCGTGGTAACATAAGCTGCGACACACATAGCTCACTTAATACCACATGATGGATGACATTAGAACATGAACAGTACTATCAACAACTAGCAGGTATGCACCAAAAATCATTGAACTTGGTACGTACGCTTGCTGCTCATACTACAAGCTGGGAGTTGATGCTTCAATGCATCGGAACATAGGTATGCTATCGTAATACCAATTCAGTGGTATGTAGTCAAATCAGTTATATCACGGGTCCATCGAAAATTGAGATGAGGTGGGTCACGCTTCAACTGCAGATTACTGGCTTCATTTTACCTCTTTTCAACAAAAGGCATCGGGCTGGACGCAAGCGTGCATATTTCAATGCCAGTGATCGCATGAACGACGCCATAACATAGGCACTGCGCGACAAGCTCATGCTCGGATTCCCTAGCACTAGCGAACACCCCTTATCGCATACTGAACAGCGATCAGCCATTTTGACCCAGCCACTAAAAGAAGCAAGCGAAATACACGAAATAGGAGCAAACATTCCAATGGTGTCCCGCCCCAGACACTATATGAGTGCCCCGTGCAACAGCAACGCCCATCCGAGCAGGCCGTCGCGGCCCCCTCCGCTTCCCCCCGCCAGTGGGGCCCTCTGCCGGAGGCGCGAGGCCGACGCCAGTCGCTGGGCCGCCGCCTTACTCACGTGCACAGACGGGGAACTCGTCCCTGGGAGACCAGGCGTGGCCGAAGCCGCACATGAAAATGGCGGAGGCGGGTTGTGTAAAGAAGCGGCGGCCGGTCCAGCAGGAGGGCTGGCACAGCCGGCCGCCGAACCAGTCCAGGCAGCTGACGTCACCGCCGGGCAGCGCCGGCGCGCCGCAGTCGCCGCCTGCGTCCGCACACAGCGCCGCATGCAGACAGAGCCGCAGAGAGCCGCACACAGAAGCGACGCCGCGGCCGGCGGCGGCCGCCCCGGCCCACACACAAGCGCAAGCTGCAAGCGGCGGCGGAAGCGACGCCACGCGATCGGGACGGGCGAGCGAGCGAGCGATTTGTGGCTTGCGGACGTCTAAGCCTGTGAGCCGCTTTGATAAATTTCGCCAAGGGTGGTACATTACGTGGACTGAAATGTGCTATTTTAAGTTGGATCTGGGAGCCGTTTCCTTGAATTGTTGTCTGTGTTTGTGCTATGTGGAAGCTATGTGAATTTGTGCGACAGGGAGCTTTTTTGCTCAAAACGGCATTGCAGGAGCATGGGATATAAAGAACTGAGAAGTCTGTTACATTCTTCCCGTCATTACGACATGGCGCTGATTGTGTGAAGTGATGCTGAAACAGTTGAAATGAAAGGCGTATGGCTGTTCATCCTTCACTGCCGCTCCACTTGAAGTCCAGCGGCTTTTTGACATTACCAAAACGGTGAGGGCGCCTTTTCCGTCGCTTTAAAGGCGTTGCTTGCCTTGGGCCACCACAAAACAAGTCTAGTAAAAGTTCCAAGCAACATTGAGATGGACACTAGCTACACATTTAACAAACGCAGGGTTTCCAAACTACAGGTGACCGCTCTGACTACACACGCACCAATGGCTCCATAACCAGCACAAACATCAGAGCAGAGCACGTGACACCCTCGCCAACACAGGGCCTATCGAAGTCGAGCTACGGCACGGAGCGCGAACGAAGCGCTGCCCGAGCTGGGGGCCGCCCCGCCACCGGTGCTGCAACGACACAGGTCACGTGAGAGGCCAGCTGTCCCTGCAGGCCTGCCCGGCATGCTGCAGCCTCCAGTCGACCCACCATCCCAGCTCCGCACCTCGCCAAGCCAGTCATTACCACGCCATCTGGTGCAGGGATAGTGAGGCAAGCGACCATAGGCTGGGGTGTAGTGTCGCAAGGGTATTGGGCAGGTGAAATCAGCCGGTGACTTAATGACCTCACAGGCTGCATCCATATGTTTTGCTTCCACTTTAGATCACAGATGATTTTCATATGATTACGGTTATGATTCGGATCACATGTGATATGGAGATCACATATGATTTTCGCCCTAAATAACGGAAAGACGGAAACTCGAAGGAGATCAGCAGCGAACTGAGAAAACATAACGCCCAAAATGATTGCGAAACAACACCCCTGATTACCGCAGTAGCTGAAAATCAAGCATGTCTGCTAGGGTGAGTGCTGAGGTAGCATGGAAGGCAGGCAGCTAACAGAAGTGGCGCTAGTGTACAGGCGAGACAGCAGGCGGTGACGCCCCATTATGACTGCCACTACTTTGTTCAAACTGCTACATGTCGAAGCAAATGTGTTACTAAGTCTAAGAAACCGCAAATAACTGCGTATGAGCAGAAAATAAACCTTAGCCTTGCATCCGCCTATCTACCACTCTAAGCCTACAAATATATCAGAGAAGGCAATGGCAACAAGACGTGGACTTCAGTGGTTCCGCACCAAATTCATTAATCCCGTGAGATTTGGCCGGCAGTCAAGCTCATTCGTCCCGATCTGAGCGACCCCGACGGTAACTGATGACCGCCAGTCTGGCTGGCTTTGGGGCATGCCACTTACGGGTGACGTTGATAGTGAAGGAGCAGTTGGCTCTGTTGCGCGCCTTATCCAGGGCGATGTAGAAGGCGCGGTGCTTCCCCTCCGGCAAACGGGAGTTGGGCCGCTGCTCGCAACGTCACGGGTCAACACACGTCCCACCCCTCACCCCCAGTAAGGGGCAGGACCGGGGCGTCTCGGCTCAAGCATGAAGGTTCTCAAGCCCCCGGCTTGGAAAAACCAGACCATACTGGTGAGTAAAACGATCTCTGAGTGCTGCTTAAAATCGATCTACTTTTAGTGGATAGCAGTGGGCTCATGTTTCGTTGGCAAACACTGACTTACGATGGACTGCCAAGTATTGACGACACCGACATTATCGGAGAAGAGCGGCTCCTCCCAGTTGACTCTGGTGTCCATCTGTCCCTCCTTGAGGAGGATGTCGAAGGACTCGGGGCAGCGGCGCACCCGCGGCGGCTCCAGGTCTGCGCACACACGGGTGGTCACCGGTCAGACGCTGAGAGCACGGCACGTGACCCCGGTGACGCCGCCGCTCAGCGAGTACTGCTGCATTTTCGAACATAGCGAATGAACGGCGTCTTCTTCTTTTTTGTTTTTTGCCCTTACGGTACTATTTGAAGCTTTAGATCCAGAGCATCGCCAATGCCACCGATTGAGTCTCTAGCTTTGGAATGTCAGCAGCATATGTCATGCTATGCTATGCAGCACATGTCATGCTGCGGGAGACAAACAATCGCATCGCACACACTTTACATGGGTGGTATCAGGCTCAGCGCACCGGTTATCGGAGTTTGTTCCTTGTATCAATAACCAGCCGGCCAGGCAGTGCATTCGAGTTCAACAGACACTTAGGCGTTAAGTTTTTAGCCAATCAGAATCACAAAATGACAGTCCGATGATCAGAGGGTCAGATGTCAGGTGACTGCTATGTATATGGTCGCACCACTAGACTGCTCTCCCTGAGAGAAAAATCAATCATTCAGACCCTGGGCCTGTAAACATGTGGTACTCCATACTATCGCTTGAGCCAAAGGAACAGCGATCGTGTTGTTTTTTCTACCATTGCACTTTTCGCTTGACTGCCATCGCTATTCCCCTCACCCCTCCCCCCCCCCTGATGTAAGTTGTTAGAGGCCCAGGAACCTCACCGACTATATCCACATTAAAGGAGCACTTGGCAGGCGAGTCAGTGAGCAGCGAGTGCGTCACGAATGTGATCCGGTGCCTGCCAGACGGCAGCTCGGCCTGCAGACTGCCGTCATCGCTGCGCACCGGCTCCCCGTTCACGTACCTGAGGTCACCACCGGCCATGGGTCAGCCCCGAGCCATACCGGCTCCTTGCTGTGCACTCGAGGTCAGCTCACATCATGGAGTAATATATCGTGTCGTCCACAGTCAGGTCAGGTCGCACCACATACGGCACGCGCGACGTCTTTTTACTCGTTTGAGTCATAGATATCACCTTGCTGCGTCACATAATGCATAGCTTGTATGCACCTGTCCCTTCTCGTGAATGAATCACGCACAGAGCGGAAATATCCGAGACAGCGGTACTCGTACGTCGTTGACAGGATCACTCCAGCTGCGTTACATTCGGACGGAGCGCCGCAGACGGTCCTGCTCCGCCGTGACTCACAGGCGCGTCTGCAGGCTGTTGCGAGGCCGCGGGAAGCGGACGCGGCTTGAGTTGCGGCTCGGCTTCAGCTCCACACGCTGATCTTCCGGGCAGGTGATGAGCGGCTCTCCGGGCGACACGCTCAACTGGGGACGGCGCTGCGGCTGCGGCCGCGTCTGGGGACGTGACTGGGGCCGCGACTGGGGCCGGGGCCGGGGCCGGGGCCGGGTCTTGGTCGTGGGTCGGGGCTGGGGCTGAGACTCGGGCTGTGTCTCACGCTGCTCGGGCCGAGGCTGGGGCCGTGGTGCGGGCCGGGATTGAGGCTGGGGTTGGGGTTGGGGCTGAGGCCGTGTCTCTGGCTGCTCTGCCCGGGGCCTGGGCCGTGGTGCGGGCCGGGGCTGAGCCTGGGGTTGGGGCTGGAGCTGAGGCCGTGTCTCTGGATGCTCTGCCCGGGGCCTGGGCCGTGGTGCGGGCCGGGGCTGAGGCTGAGGTTGGGGGTGGGGCTGGGGCCGTGGTACGGGCCGGGGCTGGGGCTGAGGCTGGGGCTGCGGCTGCGGCCGCGGTCGCGGTGCAGGCCGGGGCGGCTGTCGACGCCGTGGCGGCGCTGTGGTCGTGACTGGTGGCGGATGGGTTCGTCGCTCGCTAGTCGTTGGGGGTCTGGCCGTGGTGCCGACCCGCCGCGTGCCCGGCATCTCCCGGGCGGCGGTGGTGGAGTCGTCGCGGGTGACGGCGACAGTGGCCGCTGACACCCGCGACGTAGGCGGCCGCGACCGGGCGGTGTTCTCTGTCAGCACGCTCCGTGCAGTTGTGGCGTCTGGGGGCAAAAGGAGCCAACTGCTTGTAAAAGGCTCTAACACCATGCCAGCCACCAACAGCCAGCCTGTTATTGCCATCGGCATTTATTTATATTCTAGTTTTGCTTCCTTTTGTCGTCACTGGGGCTGTGAGATGACACTTTGAACGGTGAGCTGAATATCGTCGCTTTCCACTTTTCCCAAAACAGTAACATAATGTACGAAATACAAGTATGTGCTTGGAGTCGTTAGATCTGTATGGCTCATCTATCTCCTGACAAGATGTAGTATGTGTATGTAATGCGAACCAATACCTGGAAACACATCGGAAATATGTCAAATTATGCTGATACAGTGGGCATGCTCTCTTCCACGTGACACCGTGAGTGTGATCTGGTCCCGTCTGCCTGCGGTCCTCCCCCACCCCTTCATTTCCAGCGCTCCCGTCCCGCTTCAGCTTGACCCACCCTGCTTCTGGCGGCGGCGCTGGCCTCCTCGGCGTCGCTTCTTGCCGCCGGGGACGCAGCGCGGCTCGTGACGCCCCTCGAACGTCCAGCTGAGGTCGGCCTGGCAGGTGAGGCGACGCCGGCCACGCACGCGGAAGCCCGGCTCGCAGACGATGTAGCAGCGCCTGCCGGGCCGCGTGTCGCCGCGTAGGCAGCGTCGCGGCCGCAGGGTGGCGTGCGGCGGCGGCGCGATGGCCGAGCACGCGGCCGGTGCCGGCGGCTTCCGGGCCGAGGGCTCGCGCGAGCCTGCCGGGGTAGCGATCTGCTGTCGGGGCGCTGGGGCAGGCACAAAGGCGTGCACACCTGCCAGCTGACAGGTCAGTGAGGCATCGCGGCCAGCGACACGCTGGAAAGGCGTTTGCTTATTGCATCGCTTACTAGACGCGGGAGCATCACGTGCAGCAGTCCGCCCACAGGGTGCCGGGACTGGCAGGCAGTCCGACAGCAGCAGCCCACCGCCAGAGCCGGCTGAGACAGACACACGAAAGCCCGAACCCGCAGCCTGACGCCCGGATAACCTCCCGCCGCCGGCGCCCTCACCTGTCGCGCCGACCGGCTCGCGGCGGCACTTGGCCGGGCCGCCGATCCACTGGCCACTCTGATGGCACGTGGCCTGGCCGTCGCCCTGGACGCGCCGGCCGCGGCGGCAGCGCACCCGACAGCGTGTGCCCAGCGGGAAGCCGACGCCGCTCTCCAGCGGCGCGTCGCAGATGAAGTCGCTGTGCGCCGGCGCAGTCGGCGGCCGGCACCAGCCCTCCGTCACGGCTGTGGCAGAAATGTTGCCAGTTCACGTTCGAAATGACGTCAGACGTGTGGCTGATACGACGTGCGGGGGGTTGTGCCGCCTAGTGGGCTGCCGTATAGCATGACCAGACAGACAGGACAAAGTAGAATTCCGCACCAACTCAGCAAACCTGCAGACGATTTGGAAATAGGTCGGTCACACACGAAGATAGGTCCGGCACTCACAAACACACACCCATATCTAGAGATATGCTACTACTAGCTGTTTTGTGCTGTTATAGTAGGGGCTGGACTTATTTCTATGGAATAATCTAAACTTTATTGCTATGGTGAATGTGGGCTGCTGCTGCTCGAATATTTTCCGAGCGTGTGGGGTATTTCCGGTGGGTGAACACGCCTGTTTTGAGCTTCTGAAAAGGAGTAGTGCACTGGCGATGATTGAAGTGGGCCGCCAATACCGGCTGTCGTCGGTAGATACTAACGCGAGCAACCGCGGCCGTCAGCATCCAGTCGGAAGCGATCGCTGCAGACGCAGGTGAAGCTGCCGTCGGTGTTGAAGCAGTCCTGCGAGCAGCCGCCATTCTGGTAGGCACACTCGTTCACGTCCCGGCACTGCTCCGGGTGCCTGGCAACGCAAGGACACTGTGAGATGGGTTCGAAGCGTGCCCTCGACCGTCCAGCTCTGGGATCGAGACGGCTGCCACGATAATCCGGCACCACAGTCAACAGCGTTCTAAACTAGGCGGCATGCGGCAGAGCATCAGTGTTTTGGGTGCAGAGCTATAAATCTATGCTCGCTTTTTTCTTTCTATATGAAAGAGAAGCGAACAACGCTTGCTATATGCAAACGTACAGTCTAGCCCACGCAAGCTTAGTCAGTCAACGCTCCAATTTAACACGGCACTCAAACGTATCCGAACACTGGCAGGTGCTCTAACTTTAACATACATCGGTATACGCGAGTAATACCCGAGAAAAAACCAACACGCCCGCTGCGTCTCCGACCGGTTACTGACCTCCAGTGGGCCCTGTAGCCCTCGCGGCACTCGCAGTGGAACGAGCCCGGCTCGTTGATGCACTCGTGCTGGCAGCCGCCGTTGTCGCGGCGACACTCGTCCACATCGCGGCACGAGCGCCGGTCGGCCGCCAGCTCGAACCCGTCGCGGCAGGCGCAGGCGAACGCGCCGGCCGCATTCTCGCACAGCTGCTCGCAGCCGCCGTTGCGGTAGCGGCACTCGTCCACGTCCACGCACGTGCGCTCGTCGCGGCCGAGCTGGAAGCCACGCGGGCACGTGCACTCGGCGCGTCCGCCACGCGAGCGGCATCCGTGCGAGCAGCCGCCATTGCGCGCGACGCAGGCGTCCTGCGCCCGGCATGAAACGCCGTCCGGCTGCAGCTGGTGGCCCGGTCGGCACGAGCAGATGCGGCCGCCGGCCAGGTTGACGCAGAGCTGCTCGCAGCCACCGTTGCGCTGCCGGCACTCGTTGACGTCCGCGCACGTCCGATTGTCGGCGGCCAGCCGGTAGCCGGCCCTGCAGCGGCAGCGGAACGAGCCGGCGGTGTTCTCGCACAGGTGCGCACAGAGCCCCTCGCGCTGGCGACACTCGTCCACGTCGCGGCAGGTCAGGCGGTCGCGGCCGAGCGCCAGGCCGGGCGGGCACAGGCACTGCGCGCCGCCCACCACACTCAGGCAGATGTGTGAACAGTTGCCGTTGTTGTCGGCGCAGAAGTTGATGGCGGCGCAGGCGCGACCATCCGCCTGCAGGCGGTAGCCGGGCCGACAGGCGCAGGCGAACGAGCCGGGCGTATTGCGGCAGAGGTGGTGGCAGCCGCCGCCGCGTCGCTCGGCACACTCGTCCTCGTCCCGGCAGCTGCGGCCGTCCGGCTGCAGCTGGAAGCCGGGCCGGCAGCTGCAGAGCGGGCGACCGTCGCGCTCGTGGCACACCTGCTGGCAGCCGCCGTTGTCGCGGCGGCACGGCTCGCTGTGCCGACAGGTGGCGTTGTCGGACTGCAGCACCTGGCCCGACGGGCAGGCGCAGTGGTGACCGCCGTCCGTGTTGACGCAGAGCTCGGCGCAGCCACCGTTGTCGGCGCGGCACTCGTCCACGTCCTGGCAGGTGCGTCGGTCGCGGCCAAGCACCCAGCCGTCCGGGCAGCGGCACGCCACGCCGCCGTACAGGTCGGTGCAGATGTGCGAGCAGCCGCCGTTCAGCTGCAGGCACTCGTCAAAGTCGGTGCAGGTGCGGTTGTCGTGTTCCAGACGCAGTCCGGCCGGACAGGCGCAGCCGTAGGCGCCGGGCGAGTTGCGGCACTCGTGCGAGCAACGGTGCACGTTTTCAGCGCACTCGTCCACGTCGATACACGTCCGGCCGTCGCCCTGCAGCCGGTGACCCGGCGGGCACTCGCACACGTAGCTCATGTCCGTGTTGCGGCAGCGGTGCGAGCAGCCGCCGTTGGCGTCGGCGCACTCGTTCACGTCCTGGCACGTGCGCCGGTCGACGCTCATGCGCATGCCCGACGGGCAGAGGCAGCGGTGGCCGCCGGGCAGGTTCTCGCAGTCGTGCGAGCAACCGCCGTTGCGCGTGGCGCACTCGTCCTCATCGGCGCAGCTGCGCTTGTCCGCGGCCAGCCGGAAGCCCCGGCGGCACACGCAGCGGCGCCCGCCCTCCAGGTTGACGCAGTCGTGCTGGCAGCCGCCGTTGGCCGCCTCGCACTCGTCCACGTCGTCGCACGAGCGGCCGTCTTCGCCCAGCCGGAAGCCGTCGCGGCAGGCGCAGCGGAAGCTGCCGTCGTCGTTCAGGCAGAGCTGCTCGCAGCCGCCGTTGCGCAGGTCGCACTCGTCGGCGTCCTGGCAGGTGCGGTTGTCGGCAGCAAGCTCGAGACCCGGCGGGCACGAGCACAGCACGCCGCCCTCCAGGTTGATGCAGATATGCGAGCAGCCGTGCGCGTTCTGGAAGCACTCGTCGCGGTCGGCGCACGTGCGGTTGTCGGGCCGCAGCCGGAAGCCGGGTCGACAGAGGCAGCGGTGCCCGCCGGGCGTGTTGACACACTCGTCCGAGCAGCCGCCGTTCTGGCGCTGGCACTCGTCCTCGTCCCGGCAGCTGCGCCCGTCCTCGGCCAGCTGGAAGCCGGGCTGACAGTCGCAGCGACGGCTGCCGGGCGTGTTCTCGCACAGCTGCTGGCAGCCGCCGCGTCGCTCGGCGCACTCGTCCACGTCGCGGCAGCTGCGTCCGTCCTCGGCCAGATGGTAGCCGGGCCGGCAGCTGCAGAGCGCGCTACCGGCCACGTTCTCGCAGATGTGCTCGCACCCGGCGCGGCCGTCTAGGCACTCGTCCAGGTCGGAGCAGGTGCGGTTGTCACGCTCCAGCACGAAGCCGGGCGGGCAGAGGCAGCGGAAGCCGCCGTCCGTGTTCTCGCACTCGTCTGAGCAGCCATCGAGCCGCTCTGTACACTCGTCCACGTCCGTGCAGCCGCCGCCATCCGCCGTGAGACGGTAGCCCGGACGGCACGAGCACTGGTAGCTGCCGTCCGTGTTGCGGCAGTCGTGCTGGCAGAGGTCGCCATAGGCGCACTCGTCGCGGTCGGCGCAGTCCTTGCGGTCCGGACCGCTCAGGTCATAGCCCTCAGGGCACGAGCACGCAGACGAGCCTTCCAGGTTGATGCAGATGTGGCTACACCCGCCGTTGTCGACGAAGCACTCGTCGACGTCGACGCACGTTCTTCCGTCGGCCTGCAGCCGCCAGCCGGCGGGACAGGCGCAGGCGAAGGAGCCCTCCACGTTGCGACACAGGTGCGAGCAGAGTGCGCCGTCGGCGTCGCACTCGTCGATGTCCTGACACGTGACGCCGTCCTGCCCGAGAAGCAGTCCCGGCGGGCAGTCGCACCGGAAGCTACCTTGGGTGTTGGTACACCTGTGCGAGCACGGGTCGTGCAGCTCGCACTCGTTGACGTCACGGCAGGTGCGCTCATCAGCCGAAAGCCGGAGTCCGGGCGGGCAGCCGCACTGGAACGTGCCGGGCACGTTGGTGCAGTTGTGGCTGCACTCGGAGGCGCCCTCGGCGCACTCGTCGACGTCCACGCACCGGTGGTCGCCCTCCAGTCGGTAGCCCTCCGGGCAGAGGCAGCGGTAGCCGCCGTCCGTGTTCTGACACTCGTCCGAACAGGCGTGCCGGCCCTCGGCGCACTCGTCCTCGTCCAGGCAGTCCTCGCCGCGCTCGTCCAGTCGCCGGCCAGCCGGGCAGCGGCACTCGCGGCCGCCGTCCGTGTTGGCACACTCGTGCGAGCAGCCGCCGTTGTCCGTCAGGCACTCGTCAACGTCGCGGCAAGTCTTGGGGTCGACGCCGGGCGCGCGACCCGGCCGGCACGCGCAGATGGCGCCACCGGGCGTGTTGGAGCAGATGTCGCTGCAGCCGCCATTCGCCACGCTGCACTCGTTGAGATCCTCACAGTTGCGCCCGTCAGCCGCCAGCCGGTAGCCGTCGTAGCAGCGGCACTCGTACGACCCGTCCGTGTTGATGCACTCGTGATCGCAGCCGCCACGTGTCCCGTCCGAGCACTCGTCCTCGTCGCGGCACGTGCGCTCGTCCGGCGCTAGGCGGTAACCGGACCAGCAAGTGCAGCGGAAGCCGTCTGCACGACTCTCACACGTATGCTGGCAGCCGCCGTTATTCTGCTGGCACGGGTCGGCCGGCTGACACGAGATCAGGTCGGCGGAGAGCGTCTCCGTGGGCGGACACGCGCAGGAGAACGAGCCGGGCTCATTCTCGCAGATGGACGAGCATCCGCCGTTGTTTTCACTGCATTCGTCGATATCTGGAAAAACGATGGTGCCGTTTGCTTTCGGCTCGAACAATGAATTGGTGATGATTGACTCGCTGTAGCATGTCGTGAACATTCCGGTTTTCGTATTATTTTTTGTGGAGTGATGAGGGCTAGTCAGACAAATTCCCAAGCCTTGTTTCTGTGGTATTGTCCATTGCACGAATTCTAAGCGACACCTCTGGTGTCACTTGACCGCTCTCACCGGTGCAGGTTTTCTCGTCGCTTTCCAGAGTGAATCCCGCTGGACATGTGCAGACGGCAGTCCCCTCCAGGTTCTCACAGCCGTGAGAGCAGCCGAACCCACCCTCCGAGCACTCGTCGACGTCTATGGACAGTGGCTAAAGTCTCAAGCGAAAGGAATACTAGATAGCGCATTGTTTTCCTTGTTTTCCTGTTCCATTGTTTTCCTGTTAGTGCATTGTTATAATATTTTACCTGGTGGGATGACTGGTCGATGGACAGGCACCTATCTTTTCTTGATATTGCAGTTTTTAATCGAAGTGGTATTCCCGGCATCAGTCCAGAGCAGAGGTATATTCACATAGTGAATTTACCTCTGCCACATTCACATAGCCAGGGGATGCGTGCCCTCCCCTTAACAAATTTGTGATATGCATTAATATGGACGTAAATAAATTCTGACACTAGACAATTACTAATAGACAGATAAAACATAGATGGATCGAAAACATGGCATGTCGTGTTGGGGCATATAACAACTTTTGCGAGCCTGCGGCGCGCTCAACTAGTTTTTTTCGGTTGAAAGGAGCGTCCCACATTGACATGGGATATTTAACTGAAATAGCTACCTGGAAGACCTTTCGGTGCTGTTCACAACCATGCCCTTTTTAAGATATAAGACCCCTCTAGTTTCTGAGCTAGACGCCTGCTAAAATGTGGCCAGGGGCGGATCTAGCCTGGAGCTGTTGTTTTTTTTTTGGGGGGGGGGGGGCAACCGTTCGTCGCCAGCTGGGTGGTGTGGGATTCGAGGTCAAGTGCATGGTGCCTCTCGCGAGTACCTAGTAGGGACACCATTCAAAACCGAAAAAACACCGAAATGCTTTTGAATCTTAAACAGAAGTTAAAAGAGAACAGTTAGAACAGTCAGAGTTAAAACAGACGGTAAGTAGACGAAATTTTTATGAAGTTGTGGGAACGTTTGGGGGGGCAAAACATACTCTCAGAGGTTTTGTGGGTCCATGGTCCCGTGTCCATACCCCCGCCCCCTCCCCCCCCCCCCAGGATCCGACCATGAATGTGGCGAGTATTTAGGGGAGAGCATTTCAAAGTCTGCTGGTATTCATGACGTCATAATAACGTCATTTAAGTCCTGCCATTGCATAAGCCATGCGGTGATCAATGCCAAAAAAAAAAATACTCATTGTCGAGGCGTTCATGCCTGGTGTTCGTGAACACCATTTCCGGATGTAACGGCCGTCAACAGGCTCTCAGACAATGTTATGCAAGGCACGACGACACAATCAGACCACGGGTCCCCCCCCCCCCCCTCCCCAAACGTATACCAATGGTTATAAGTGAGCCTGTTTCATCATACCTGATGCTTGCTTTAATACCTTCAAATTTGAAACATTCCCTTGAGATAATGTGAAGTGGGCCCCCCCCCCCCCCTCTCCCATTGCACAAATGCTGCACCCGCTCCTGCTTGGTCACTCTCACCGGTGCAGGTTTTCTCGTCGCTTTCCAGAGTGAATCCCGCTGGACAAATGCAGACGGCAGTCCCCTCCAGGTTCTCACAGCCGTGCGAGCAGTCAAACCCACCCTGTGAGCACTCGTCGACATCTGTGGACACCGACCATTGGTTTCAAGCAAAACCAAACAACACCCTCACGATTTGTCCCCCAGTACGTCCGTCACGCTGGGGCCCCGGTCCTGTGATCTACGAGAAGAAGAGCCAGCCAAGAGCCGCCAAGAGCCGCCAAGAGCCACCAAGAGCCGCCAAGTCGGAATCGCCATTGCCTATCCGGGAGGACTCAGCCTGGAGATGCCCGCCGCAGAAGACCTGACCTGCGCTTCACACCCCCGAGGTTGGCTCGGGACCGCTCACCCAGGCAGCTGCCGTCAGCGGCTTGTGCGAAGCCCTGGGGACATTCGGTGCGCTGTTCGGCGCAGTGATAGCTGCCAGGCGTGTTGACGCAGCCGTGTGGACAGCCGGCCGCCACCTCCGGGGCCTCGCATTCGTCCACGTCTGGAGCACGGAGAGCAGAGTGGAGGGCTGAAGTGATGGGTAATGTAGCAAACATCGGCCCACCGTCGACACACAGGCTTTGACAAGAATGTAATTCCAAGAATAGGAAAAGTAAAGCAACTGCGTAAGTTAAACAGCTGAATCTCTTCAGTCAATTTTCTACCGCACGTGTCCATAACACATAGCACTAACCTTTGCACGTTTTCCAGTCGTCGTCAAGCATGAAGCCGCCCGGACACGTGCAGAATACGAATCCCAGCGTGCTGAGGCAGCCGTGAGAGCAGCCGCCATTGTTGACCTTGCACTCGTCAAGGTCATCACAGGTGTGGCCGTCCGAGGACAGGCGTGTTCCTGCAGGTCATCGCAGGTCACGGGTCAGACAGGGGGGCTGAACCGTTTTAGACGAAGTGCTCTACGCAGGACCCCGCATTATTCAAGATGGTTGACGGTCGCACTTTGGGCTGAGGTACGGTCCAGGTCGTTACAAAAGAAAGTAGATGTCGACGTCATGTAGCCATTTACGAACAACATCAGAGAAAGATTAGTGGTGTAGAGACTTGATAACGGCGTTGGTCAAGCCCTTGCAAACGACTGCAGCGCGGCGAGCAGATGTGCTTTGCGTGACGCCGTCGGCCGCGACCCTTCGCGACCGCAGGTCAGCAACCTCAACACGATAATAGCCCCACTAGAGAGATAGCCAAACGTCTGAGAAGGCGGCCTTTGCTGGCTGGCGGACGGCCAGCGGCGGCCCTGGTGGTCCTTATGTATTTGTCGGCACTCTGATACTGCAGCAACATGCCTCTCGCTTTAGATTTTGCCATTACGAATGTGCGGTAATAAGATATAAAAGAGCCATTGTACCACAGCGAGACGCCTCGCATGCACGGACTTGGCTATGAGACAGGAACACCACAGGCGTCATTGTAACACCATAGGCGTCATAGTAACACCACCGGCGTCATAGTAACACCATACTGGCGACATTGGTTGGCCAATCCGAACGAGGACACTTGACGATGACTCCAGTGGTGAAATGAAACCAGAAACTACCACGCTGGCATCCACTGCCCAGCAATACAACGCCAGCCAGACGGAACAACATAGCATCCGCGTCATCCCAACACAATGACAAAACGGACACTGGCACGTGCTCCCCTTGAGAGACGACTTTCGTACAGGCCACATAACCTAATCGAGTGGACGGTTGGATGCAGTACGGTATAAAGACCCAATATGCCTTGGCCTCCTTCGAAGAGTGACTGAGCCACCTGGTACGCTACCTAGTACAATAGACGCCAGTGTAAAGCATATGACGTACATTTGAGACCAACGAGACATTTTGGGCTATCGTCGGGAAACGAGCGGGGTTAAGCGGACCAGGGTTGTTCACATACCTGGACACAGTCACCAGTTTATGAATACACCAAACGGCGACTCCTCTCCAAGCTGCATGGAAGACAAATATTGGAGTCTTAGAGTTATGACCGCCTTGAGTCATTCATACAGGCTGTATTAAAGCCATTAAACAACCCATCTTGCCGAAATTTGCATCCTGTATGCCGACCATTTGTGACATAAAATATCAGGTCAGGGCTGTGTTGGCCCGCGTAGATCTTCAAGCGGCTAGCCTCAAATTCCCAAGGTCATCCAATGACCCACATCTGCCTTTGACAATCGGGCCCTATAAACAAGGTTCGTAATCCGCGTAACCTTGTAAGCAATATATCAATGAGGCCTAATAACAGTTTGTACCTACTACTTAGCACTGAGTGCACCAACGGCGTTTGAGGCGGCTAATTTACAGGAGTGAGACGAGATATTAGTATCATGGATGTAATAGTTGTTTGGACTATCAATATATCGTCTCCATCTGATGTGCTAGCATGCACTCAACGTTTCGGTCAGCTAACTCTCCGGCCGTCGTTGGGTGTTGAAGTCCTGAGAAGGACTGGATGATATTTGGCCTCCAGCCCTGTACGCGTCACAAACCGCATTCTCTCCTTGGAGTTGCTGGGATTCGAACCAGGGTCGTCTAATTGTGAACCAAATGCTCCACCAACTATCCTTTCCGGTAAGCTCATTCAGTAGAACACTAGGCTCACACTAATAGGACCATGGTTCGCATCATTCGCACCATGGTTCGCATCATGAATATATATATATATATATATATATATATATATATATACCTTATGATTAATATATGCATATATACCTTATGAAATGTTGTATATATATATATATATATATATATATATATATATATATATATATATATATATATATACCACCGTATCAGTCGATAAGCGATAGTCCGAACAAAAACTCCATCCTCGTCTTATTTTACAGAGCAGAAAAAGGAAGACTATTAGGTGTAAACTTTACTCCCACTCTGCTTCATTCGTCACTATCACAAACAGCAAACACTGTTTATGTGCACTCTACAACACACAGCACGTGTGGTTGAATCCTTCTTCACTTGACGTGTCATTTAGATCCAAAGAGCAAGAATTGCATCACAAAATTTGTGCTTGGACCACCCTACGGCAGGTCAGAGCGTCACGATATACTTGGCGGACGGTATATATATATATATATATATATATATATATATATATATATATATATATATATATATATACATGGGATCATAAACATTGCAGTGTGTTTCACATTGACACAAAAATATAGGCATGTGGCATCTTGGCATATATATATATATATATATATATATATATATATATATATATACATATATACATATATTCTTTGTTCATTCAACGTTCACACATGCTTATTTATAGCTTTAGCTAGGTTATGCATTCTAACCTCTCGTAGCGTGAGGTCATGGCGATTTTTTGTAAAAGTTGAGGTCGTCCTGGAAGACGTTTCAGAAACTCCTAGACTGATCTCTTGTTACGAAATTGATTCCCATACTTGTGTTATATTTTGGTGAGCTGCATTGCCATTAAAGCTTGCTGAGAGGGGATAACTTGTGTCGCGAGCTGAAGTTATGTCAAGTTCCAGTTCGTTGCACGCATCACCAAAGCAACGTCACGCGATAAAACGCCAAAACCTTTTTTATGTTCGAGTGAGGTAGATTGGAACTGCAATTTGCCAGTAAACCGCGCAGTCTGTTGCAAGCATGAGTTTGGCCGATTCAAACTACATTTTATCCATGTCACACCCAATCAGTATAACAGGTAGAAAATATACACTACAGGCTTCACGTACTGAAAGCACTTTATATGCCACTCACATACATGGGATCATAAACATTGCAGTGTGTTTCACATTGACACAAAAATATAGGCATGTGGCATCTTGGCATTCCACAGCCCAGTACAATATCCACTATAAAGGCATGTATGGGAAGCAGCCAACGCCCTGCTGACATGCATTTCGGATACAAATTTTCAAGACATTGCGATTAAGTTGAACAATTATGCGATTCAGAACACAGGTTTCCAGAAATCTTGCATAACCACCTGATCTTTTAAGTCATTCGATATTAAATGACGATCAACAAATTTACCTGCGCTGAGGTTGTACGATCAAGGGTTATGTGTCGTTGCTAGAATCAGTCCGATAAGGTTAAGGTCATTGACTATTGAGAATTGAGGTATACAGTGGCGTGAGTAATCAACTTGATTTTTCAGTAAGGCTTGAGGTTTATTACGAGCCAAGTCAACGATGAGTGGCAGGTTTGCCGGTGAAACATACACTTCCAAACTGGGCCATGAAACGTCAAGTATATAGAAAGAACATGTGTATTATCCGTCATTCCGTCACGTACGAGCGTCAACAGGTCATATCATCTCCTTACAATACCCCACAACAGAACAGCAACATTTACAAGTGTTTGATCGAGTTAGCGCGATCTAGCGGACGGTGACAAAAAGCAAGCTTCACACTTAGGGAGCGAGGTCTCCGCTCTTCCACCACCAACAAAACGAAGCCCGTTCACCTGCCGTCTGTCGATCCCAGCAGCGGAGCTTCGTGGGCGCAGTGGCGTCAAATCCAAGCCGGTTCGGCCGGCGTCACGTACACTACCAAGCAGCATGGGTGCAGCCCCGCCCAGCCCGGCACGCGGCAGTGACGGACATGGTGTCAGACCGCCGGCCGGTAGGCCCGGACCGCAGCCCGGCGACCTAGCAGCAGGTACACAGCTGCGAGACGGCCCGCTCCAGCTGCGCGCGCACGTCCGTGTCGACGGCGGCGGCCACCTGCTGGCGCAGCACGTCCAGCAGCGCCGCCTTGTCGATTTTGGACCACTTGCTGGGCACCCCGCTCGAGTACGTCAGCCGCGTGGAGCCCGGCCGGGCGGCGTAGCTGGAGAGGGTGCGGGGGGTGCCGTCGTCGCACAGCTGGAACTCGAGGTCGGCGCGGTAGACGTCGGTGCGTGCCTGCGCCAGGCCGCGCGCGTCCTGGCCCGGCACCACGCGGTACCGGCCCACCTGCCGGGTCAACCACGCACTGGTCAGTTGGGCTGCTTTCCCAGAGCACAGCATTTACGTATATTGCATGCTGCATGTATTGAAAGACGGATATGGAAACATGCATCAGCAACACTGTGTATGCTATTATACAAGACAATATCCAGATAAGCGAGAGACACTATTCCGTCCGGCATTGCACTTTCAGCCTTTCATCTTTTGCTTTCTCCAAGAAAGCGTTTTGCATTATTAAACCCCCCATTCCTCCTGAACATAATGCAACGCCGTAACCAAACAATGTGATGCGACAGTACCGACAGGCGGTTTTGCATGAACCCCATCAGCCCTCAGGCGACCTCCCGAAGCTCGAGCCGTTCCCTGACCGCTCACTGACCCGGATGCGGTAGCTGGCGCGGCTCAGGATCTGGCTCAGCCTGAAGCTGGCCCTCAGCCTGTTCTGGCCGCGCCACAGCACGGGCGTGCCGTCACTTCGCAGATCGTGCAGCCGGTCGACTTTTCCGTTGGTGATCTTCATGTTGAGGTCGCGTCGCGAGCCGTCGCTCAGCGTCATGGGGATGATGGTGCGCTGATTGGCGAGTCGCTTCCCGCCCTGGAAGTTGGCCTCAAGCAGGTTTTGGCGCGTGCGAGCGACGATTGCGTTGAAGTGCTGGGCGGCGGTGCCGCTCGCCACTAGACGGTCGCCCTCGGAATCGGTCGAGCTCTCGCTGGTGAGGTCGCTGGTCTCTTTGTTCGAGCGGTTTTCAGGATTGCTTCGCTCCTCGTCTGAGCGCTCCGAAGATTCTTCGCTGGAGTCCGAAGACTCTTCGTCCGAGCTGTCTTCCGAATCACTATCCTCATCTGATCCTTCCGAAGATTCTTCGCTGGTGTCCGATGACTCTGAGCTGTCGTCTGAGCTGTCTTCCGAATTTCTTTCCTCCTCATCTGACCCCTCCGAAGGTTCTTCATCGGAATCGCTGCTACCTTTGTCCGTGGTGTCTGAGGTCTCCTCACCAGGGTCGACTGCAGAGTCTTCTGACCGTCCTGCGTACTCCTGTAAAGTGTCTGGCTCGAACAGCCCAAGCCGATCCAGGATGCGGGCATAGCGGGCCATCTCCGGATCCTCAGTAACTCCGCGGCGGGCCACTTCCTCGCCCTCGGGACTCTCCGTGACTGGCTCCATGTCATCAAGGGTGTTTTGGATGTCTACTGCCTCCTCGGGCCGGGCCGGGTCGGGGTTCATGAACCCCAGGCCGTCCCCGATGTTGCGGCCTAGGGCGCACGGCAGCGCCAGTAGCAGCAGGCATGGTGTGACCCGCATCTTGCGCCGCTGCACAGTCAGAGCACATGGTCAGAGCAAATACTGGCTGGCTGGTGGTAACGGCAGTTCAGTCATCGATTACAGCACAATCAGTCGAGGGATAATGGTGAGCAATGTCATAAAGTGTTTGTCCCACATTTGTATGAAGCTTTGAAGTGAGATAGACAGTTGGGGATCTTTACGTGAAATTCACAAACATAGGGCAACCAATTGTAAAACGCGCTAAAATATGAAACCAATGGCAAACAAATTAGAAAGCAAAATGCATAAGCACCTCATCGCTCATTTACATCTGAAACCCACCCGAGCAACGTTTAGCTATACGGGATGGCGTCAATGGCAGCATGATAGCTGCATCGTCTTGTTCAGTGGTGATTATAAAATGTGGGATGTCGATTATCAAGCCAGCATACATTTTACATAGAAATAGGCATGATTTGTGTAATGATTCGTGACACTATGATCGGTTCTGCACCGATGCTCCGTCACTGCTCTTACGATCCCCTTGAAACTTCTGCCGTGGTATCGCTCATCAAGGGGTTGTCTCTTCGACTACTTGTCCGCACATTTCATGCAGCTATGATGTGATAAGGAATCGTCATATAGGTATGGCGGGTATCGCGGAACCATAGCCCGCTTGAATTATGGCGTTTAGGTCAACACCATGTCAGGTATGTATACAATTTTTGTATTTTGTGGATTTTTGCGTAGGTACACAAAATCCAAAGTATACCTTTCCTTACCGATAAGAAAAAAAATTCAAGCTCAGAAATAAATACGATAACGCAAGCATGCCCCTCCACTGTCAAAAGCAAAAAGCATCTCTCATCGTCCTTGAACAAAATTAAGGGGAAACAGGAACAGTTAAGAGCGTTACGGCCAGACGGCCATTTCTTTTCGACCTGGTGTCAGCAACAACATATAAAAGACCCCTAAAAGAATGTTACCAATCAGAAGACCTCCCCCCCCCCCCTAATGTACTTCCTTCACGCCACTCAGTCTCTGACCACACAGACACATTCTGAACATTCCAAACAAACATGCACGTTGCCGGTACATAATACAAACAACCCTTACACAGTCGCGCGCTAACTCCCAGCCCCCCACGCATAAAGGTTAAACAAAACATGTCACTCAGTTCATCAAAGGCATCATTTGGTCAACTCACCTTTCTCTCCGAGCGCCACGAACGTCACGCCCCGTCACCAACGGAGCCCGGTATTTAAGCAAAATTGATGCCTATTCATCGCCGCGTGTAAAGCACGTCACTGCACAACTGCCGACAAGGCCTTCATCTGACGATTGCGTCTTCGAAGTGCGCATGCTCGGGCGCTGACAAGGCACTCGATGTGCCAGTCAACGCCCAGGCAGGTGTGGGGTGTCAGAATGATGCCCAAAAACACCCACAGGCAGACACGACGCCAGCGTTCCGCGAGTCCGCCATGTTTGGTCCCGTCCCAGGTCAAATGTCAATTAGCAATATACCGGTGTTGATAACGGAATACACTTCTGCAGCCAGCGCAAAACATGAGCATTTCGTTTCTAAGTGATCATTTTCTTATCAAAGATAATTATCCAATGATGCTGACTTTACTAAAGAGAATCTGAGTTCCGGCCCTGGACTCTCAAAGTTGGGCTTAGATCCTCATCCAAGTCAAATCAACTTCGGATAATGTCATTGCTTTTTTGGCCCAGCATGCTGTATCCAACAGCTAGTGCTCCATAACCAACATTCCGCAACTCCTAACAAACTATGCGGCAGACTTTCTAGACGCATATCGAGGATGAGCTGCCGAGTGACGAGTGTGATCGGCGCGAGCTGCCCTCTGACCTGGCACCCCGTCACAGGAGCACTTGTAGCCGCCCTCGGTGTTGGTGCAGGTGTCCTGGCAGGGGCCGTGTCCGTTCCTCAGAAGACACTCGTTTTTGTCTGCCAGCAGAGTGAAGGTGCGTGCATGAGCGAAATGGTTTAGTATTCACAAGAAACAGGAAATGAACCGTGATATTTTTTCAGTAAAATGTGAAAGCTAGAAACAGGACAGAAGGTGGGGAAAGAAAGGTGTTGAGCCGGGTAGAAAACCGTGAGAAAACGAGGGATATGCCTGCTGGGATGGGATAGTGTGTAGGAGTGGTTTGGATGGACTGAGCAACAGCACGTTGAGGCATCCGACAACAACGGCAGATTTTCAGTCATACTTGCCTGTCAACTACTTTGCCAAGCAATCAACAACCATTGATGTGCACACTTTTGCAACGTGCACGAGTGTCCCTGCCCCTGTCGGTGAGAGGCGGCACATAAGCCAGAAGCGACGCTGAGCCCCGTCCTCACCTATGCACTGGTCACCGCTGGAGGCCAGCCGGTAGCCCGTGGGGCAGTAGCACTGGTAGGAGCCCTCCTTGTTGAAGCAGACTCCGTCGCAGACAGCCTCATTGGTCTGGCACTCGTCCACGTCTGCCCGGACCGACTCAAGCGTCACCACAGCAGCAGCGGCTGATCTCTTAGTCCGTCGTGCCAGCCACCAACTCCATGCCAGCACTCCATGACTCCCTCCCTTATCCAACCACCGCCAGGCTCCGTAGAAGGCTGTCAGCTGGTTGTTGCAGTTAGGTCAACCGGTGCTTGAACCATAAAATATGGGTCAATCAGTCTGCTCTGAGAGAGTAAGCGCCAACCAATCTACACAGACGGCTCGAGCTGCCGTAGAGAGCTTGTGGAGATACCATGCGTATATTACACCCGTTGGTATACCCCTCCCCCCTCGACTTTCTGGCCCACCAGCAGTCAGGTACTCAGATTGCCTGCTTTTTTCCTACAATATCTGTATATAAGAATGTGACTGTGTCTTGATTGTGTCAAAGATGTTGCTTATCAGCTAGGTTGCAGCGGAGTGGGCCATTTTTCAGAAGAAAGTGTACATTTTCAGTTATGTTATACAACGTGACCATTCCGTTCCATATGAGGGTCGATATTCTTAGATTTTGCTTCGATAAAACTTGCTTCAAAGCAACACGCTTATTGATATCTTATAAGCGACGCAAAATGAAGCGCTTTAACCTCGGATAAGTGTTTAATGGACAGATACCGCCGATGACCATTACTATCGACCATCTCCTTCGCATTTAAGGTGCACTGTCCATCATAATTTGCGGTCACGGGGCCAACAGTTCTCAAAGGTCGGCATGCAGCGACCGTGAGAGCGGTTCGACAGCCTGCAGACGGTCGCCGCGTCATTTCCGGTCGGCGGGCGGCCCCAGCCGAGCCGCAGCTACGTCAGCGACCAGCTCAGCACTGACCTCTACACGACCGGCCGTCCTCGGCCAGCGTGAAGCCCCTGTGACAGGCGCAACGGACGCCTTCGCCCTGCACCTGACAGCGCTGGGCGCAGCCGCCCTTGTCCGCCCCGCAGGCGGCGCCAGCTGGCTCGTCTGAGGGTCAAGGTCGCCCTGCCAGTCAACGCACCAACGGGGGGGGGGATGATGCTACGTGGGATTGGTCAGCATGTGCAGTTGGGACCTTGCGCGGCAGTTACGTTGTTCGCACTGTGCCAGGTATTGCAAACGGTAACTAAATGCTCGCAATTCATTGCGCTGCTCTATTTCGTTTTGCTCAAACGATGACACATCCGGGCACAAACGGCACGACGAGATGTGCCGTAGGCAATCCGGGGGATGGGCCGCATTCGGTGATACTACCAAGCGCATCACAATCCAATAATAATGCAACGTATCCGCTGTCACCATCCAGCTGTTTTGAGATCATTTCCAGTAGCATGGGCTTCGACTTAAAAACTTTACCTAGTCCTCAGACGGACCTTGCCACTTAAACATGACTCAGTGAAAAGAATAATGAAAATGTGGTGCTACGTTGCATAATGCATCACAAGGTGTTGTCGGAAACCTTGTCACATGTCGCTGGTGTCGATGTGCTCCAGCCTCAATATCCAGCCCACGGCGGGCCCATGCGTGACAGACACGGCCAGTGTGCAGACGCACACGCTCCTAGTGCCCGTGTTTAACCGTCGGAGTCTATCGAAGTGTCCGCCTCATCCTGCCTATTTCAAATCAGCAAGTCGCACCACCCACCACCACGTGTGGCAAGCCGTGCTGCGTCCAGAGATGGCCCATCTGGAGGGCGCAATGCTGCCACGAAGAGCCCATCGCCGCCGTTGCGTGTAGCAGTCTCACCGAACGAAGCGCACTGAGGCAGTGTGCCGAGCCACCTCCGTTCGGAACAGAAGACCGCCCTCGCCCGCGCGTCGATCATCTCGTACCCTCCGTCGCACAGGAACACCGCTTCCAGATAGACGTTGTTCGGAGAGTCGGGGTTGGTTACCCTGACAAACATGGAGATAGTAAGCCGCCATCAGGAGCCGTTGTCCTGGAAATATCGCTATCAAAACCCAAAGAAACACGCGGAGCATCAAACGCAGTTTGCGCGACGTTGTGTCAACGCTCCGATATTAGCACGTCGATGTAGCGTAATCAGAACGCCGCAAGCATATGTGGGCACACGGCTCCGATGGGCCTCATTCTGCGCCGTGCCGGCCTCTACTGACCTGTTGTACGCCACGACGGCACCATGAGCCACCTCAGGCGGCACGATGCGGGGCACGTCGCCCTGACCGAACAGCTTCAGGCACGAGAGATCGAGCAGCGTGCGGTTGATGGCGTCCGGCGCCGTTTCCACGAACCGGTCGCCGCCAGAGACCTGCGGCTCGTCCTCGTCCAAGTCGGCCAGCGAGTTGGTCAGCTCCTCCTCGGCGGCTGACACGGCGATGGTGTTGTCCAGCTGCTGCGGACCGGCGTCTGGCGGTGCTCGGGTGGTGACAAACGCTGGTGGCGGCGGCGGCGGCGGCACGTCTAGCTCGTTGCTGGGCTCGTCCTCCTCGCCGTCGTAGTACTCGTAGTCGTGGTCATCGGCGTCATAGTCGTACTCGTCGTCGCCCAGCGGCTCGTCGTAATTGTCGCGCTCCGGAGCCGCCGCTGCCGCCGTGCCGTCCCCCTCGTGGCCGCCCTCGTCGTACCCGTCCCCAGCGGGACTGGTGAGGTCCCCTTCGTAACTGGAGCGCGTCGGCACCGGCGTGGGAGTGGTGGTGCTCGCCGGCGTTGTTGTCGAGACCTCTGTTGTTGTTGTGGTCGCTGGCGTCGTTGTCGACGCTTCCGTCGCCGGCTCTTCATCTGCCTCCTCTCCCTCTACCCCCTCTTCGTCCTCATCGTAGTAATAGTACTCGTCTCCTTCCCCATCGTAGTCACCCTCGTAGTCTTCGCCGTCCACGTACTCGTAGTCATAATCCTCGGCGTTGCGCTTGTTCTCCACCTTGTCGAACACCTGCCGGTCCTGACCGCCGTCGAACTGTTCCGTGTTCTGCGGCGGTTGCGCGTCGACCTCCGCGCTCGGCTGCGGCGACGCGGACGTTTCGTCCTTCGCGGTCTCCGTCGTGCCGGCCCCCGACGGCGTGGCCTCGGTCCGGGGGCGGTCCGTCTTGGCCGCCGGCGCCGGGACGGCTGTGGTGGTGGCCGCCGCCTGCTCGGGAGCTGAGGTCGGAGTCGTGCTTGGCGGCTGGCGACCGGCGGTGGTGGACGGGGTCACTGCCGACGTCGTGGAGGTCCGCTCGGAGGGCGAAGAGAGGGAGACTGACGCTGTCGTCCAATGCTGGTGCACGTCGATGACCACCGGCGAGGCAAGCTCGGACTTCGTCGCCTTTGTCTTCTTATCTGAGGAAAGGGAAGTTTCCATGTCACTGCCAGCGCATATCGACGGTGAATGTTGGCCAATCCCGACCAACGTGCTGCAAAGCACATTAATATTGATGTTCATGAATTGGGAACAAAAACTGGAATAAACTGTCAGTCTCGTACGCATAGACACGTCTGCAGTCCGTTGGGTTGTTAACCCGTGCACCGACATGAGCGTTAACTATGTCCGTGTATTCAGTGCATCACATGAAGGCAAGGAGGCGTGTAATGTGTATGTATTCGCAACAGCGTGGGTCTGAACTTGACGTGTTGACGGTGTGATGGACCCTGGTTAAAAGCAGCCTGAGGCGCGCAGACTGGAATCCGGACTTTGCGTTCAAGCTAGTGGATGTGATTGTCATGCTTATTACGAAGGCGTCTGCAGCCTGGTTGCAATAACTTGGACAGAATATAGCATGCGACTTCTCGTCACGCCTGGTGGAGGTTAACTGCGTCAGTGAAACAGCCCGAACTCAGCGATTCCAGCCACATCCGCAGGGTTCTGTGATCTCTCTGGCTATTGTCCCTGAAGTGATTCTTGGCGATATACACGTCACGGCCCGACACAAGCCTAAATTTTCTGCTCCAAGGAGAAACATCGACATGGCATGTCGATGAAAAGATAAAACGATCTACAGCCGAAATGCGGACAGGACACGGGGCTCGTTTAGACGACACGATTACTTCACCTCTGACAGCAGTTTCCGCGTCGAAGGAATACATTTTTGGTGTTGGTTCTGCTTTTATACGACTCACATGTAAGGATGTGCGTGTAAAGGAGAGGGAGGCAGTGCACCATATCGTGGAACGTTGCTGTATGCTCTTTAATCTTAGGCAATTCTCAGAAGGCAGAGTTCGTGAACACTTATGCTGACCAAAGTGCAACACTGAATGGAACAGTCACAGCTCCTAAACGTCAAGCGTCCATGGTTATTATATCATAATAGGAAATGTTCGACTGAACTACTTGCAACATACCAGTACACTTGCACCATCTCTGGTTGATCAGTATGGTTCAACTCAGACGCACCCTTGCTACGTTTCCTGCCCTTCTCTGCTGCCCTCTGCAGCTTCCTGAGCCGACGCTTCTCCGCTTGCTCCAGTTTCCTCCTCCTCTTCCGTTCTTCGCGCTCGCGCTGCTTGCGCTCGAGCCTCTCCTGTTTCCGTCGGCGGCGCTCCTCCTCCTTGCGCCGCTTTTTCAGCTCGCGCTGTCGCTGCTTGTCCTGCAGGCGGCGCTGGCGGCGCTGCTCCCGTGTCAGCTGGCGGGGAGGCCGGCGGAGCAGCGGCGCCGGTCTCGGAGCCGGCTCCCGTCGGGCGCCAGCGCCGGTCGCCACTCTGTCGGCGCAGCACGGGCCGTCAGCCCACGCTGACAGGCGCGCCGCAGCTTGTGAGGCGACTTTCACGCACACGCAGACCCACGCACAGGGACACACGCACACGATCACGTCGACAGGGACACGCGCACAGGTGGATGCGTACACGCGACCACAAGCCAGAGAAAATGCCTATCTATTTTATTTTAGAATCATGAAAACGCACGGCCTTCTCTGAAACCCTCTGCGGCTTGTTTAGATATAACTGAACAAATATCAGCACATCAACAAACAGGACATCTGTGCGAACCTGAAACCACAACAGGCTGTTGAGACAAAACAGTGCTCAGGCAGTAATGTTAGCTCATATCATGATGGATTTCACGGTCTAAGAAGCAAATTTTGTCACTTTCCTGGTAATTTCGTCAGAATTTTCGCCATCATTGTGGCTTCAGACTTTTCTGAATCGTCCAGCAAACAAAAAATATCAGATTGCGATGTCATTTGTTAGCTTGTAGCGGGGCAGCACGGCTAGTGCATGTCACCACTCCATCCGGCGGTCGTGACCTCCAGCTCTGAGCCCGCGACCCGCATCACTGCCTGCCTGACACCCGCACCCATGTCGCACCCAACACTCGCACCCATGTCCCACCCGACAACCGCACCCATGTCCCACCTGACAGCCGCATCCCAACTTCGTCCGGCCCCCGCACTCCTGCTCCACCAGGCACCCGCACCCCTGCCCCGCCAGGCCCCGCGTCTTGTCCACCCGGCCTCGGCAGCTCTGCCCCGCCCGGCCCTGCATCCTTGCCTCGCCCGGTCCCCGCACCCCTGCCCGCCCGGCCTCAGCAGCCCTGCCCTGCCTGGCCCCACAGCCCTGCCCCGCCCGGTCCCGCACCCCTGCCCCGTCCGACACCTCATCTCTCGCACGACCGTAAATCACGCGGCCGCACGCTTTAATCAGCGGAGCGCGCGCGATGGGCGGATCCGCCCCCGCATCGTCCCTGCGCGCCGAGTTCGTCTCCTGACCGCACCGTCAGCTGAGCAAGCGCCAATTGAGCACACGCCCACTCGGCACGCGCGCTGCGACGGACGGCGCCGGGTCGGACGCGGGTGACCGTGGCTGGGACGACCTATGAGCGTTGATCAGCCGTGTCTGCAGGACCGAGCGCGGCTTGGAACGGGCGGCAGGGCGGTCTGTCTGTGGGACTGTCGGCGTTTCCTGCAGGCTTGACAGCCGGCTTTGTCGTCTCATTCATCAGACGGGCCGCCAAGCTGACAGCGCCAGGGTCGGGCATTGCGCCGGGTCGGCGCTGATGTCCTGCTGTCTGAGTCACGCCGACAACGCTGACCATCCCTGTCTGCGGAGCTGTGAACTGATGTCCCGCTGTCTGATTCACGCCGACAACGCCGACCATCACTGTCTGTGGGGCTGTGGACTGATGTCCCGCTGTCTGAGTCATTCCGACAACGCTGACCATCACTGTCTGCGGACCTGTGGACTGATGTCCCGCTGTCTGAGTCAGGTCGACAATGCTGACCATCACTGTCTGCGGGACTGTGGACTGATGTCCCGCTGTCTGAGTCATGCCGACAACGCTGACCATCACTGTCTGCAGGGCTGTGGACTGATGTCTCGCTGTCTGAGTCATGCCGACAACGTCGACCATCACTGTCTGCAGGGCTGTGGACTGATGTCCCGCTGTCCGAGTCATGCCGACAAAGCTGACCATCACTGTCTGCGGACCTGTGGACTGAAGTCCCGCTGTCTGAGTCAGGTCGACAATGCTGACCATCACTGTCTGCAGGGCTGTGGACTGATGTCTCGCTGTTCGAGTCATGCCGACAAAGCTGACCATCACTGTCTGCGGACCTGTGGACTGATGTCCCGCTGTCTGAGTCGGGTCGACAATGCTGACCATCACTGTCTGCAGGGCTGTGGACTGATGTCTCGCTGTCCGAGTCATGCCGACAAAGCTGACCATCACTGTCTGCGGACCTGTGGACTGATGTCCCGCTGTCTGAGTCGGGTCGACAATGCTGACCATCACTGTTTGCCGGGCTGTAGACCTACGTCCCGCTATTCGGACGACTGGAGACTGGTTGCTAACCGCACGTCAGAGGCCTTATAGCAACGTGTCTGGCACCACGTCGGACTCGTCGATATCATTCACGACTGTGTGTGCACGGTTCTGGGAGTCTTCCACAGTCGCCTGGTCTGTTTGCTGTCGGCTTGCGGTCTGCTAGTGGTCTATCTGCGGTCCTTCGTGGCCCCCTGATGTCTCCTCCGTGTCCTGCTGGCGGTCTGCCCGTGACCCTCTTTGGTCCCTCTGTGGTCCCTCTGTGGTCCCCTCTGGTCTCCTCCGTGCCCTGCAGATGGTCTGAGGCCCCCCCCCATGGTCTCATTGTGGTCCCCCTGCGGCCCCCGCACGTGGCCGGACCATCAAGACCGGGGCTGTTCCCGCCTGATTTAGCAGCTCTTCGCCACGTGTCGGAGGCAAAAAGCGGCGCAGTTCTGTTGACCTGAGCTGCAAATGTGGTGCAAACGGAGGTCCGAACGGGACGATTCAATCAACAAAATGTGGCGGCAGCACTGGGCCCACCGCTTTCGAGGCCGGAGATGGCCGCAAAAGCAAACACATGGAGCGAATAAACAAAAACGGGGTGAATTGATGGCACGGTACTTTCGGGAAGTCAGAGCAAACGCTGCTAAATATTGCGAAACGTGATGGGGCCTGTGATTCAGCCGTCGCTTGAAGAGCTTCAGAGATACACAATCAGCTTTCCTCAGCAGTGTGTTGTCAGTGCGTTTGGTACCGCTGCAGAAGTAGAAGTCCAGCATAATTTAGATAAAAGATATGGAGAAAGACAAATAGGAACATTTGACTCATTGCGTTGAAAGTGCTCTTTTGCGGTATGACTGACACCGTTGTAATTGTGTGCCATTTGTCGGCGATGTACGCTGTTTATTTCAACCGAATGCGTACCAACAAGAGTAAGAAGATAACAAAGCAACTAAGTAAAGCAGATAACCTCTTTTGCAATTGCCGATAGTGCAAAGAAAAAATAAGTAGAAACCCATGAGATAAGTTCCGCGGTACAATTTTGTAAAATCAGTTGTGAGAAGGTACAGTCTGCGGGTGATCAATCTAAAGTGTCCCATGGCCAACTTCCGCACTCATCTGGGCGATTTGTTTTACTGTTTGTAGAAAATTTGGATTGGTCATATGCTTTGGATTTTCATTGCACTGCATTGATCATATGCACTGGATTGGATTTGCTCATATGGTTATTCCAATGTTTCTATCAGAGGTCTATGTAGTTAGAACGGGAAACAAAAACTGGAAAGAAACTCTGCGCTCAAGCAATATCTGATGATCTATTCCTGTAATTGTTTTCTTTTTTAGTCATACTTCCGTGATTTTGCCATGCACACGATGACGTTGGTAAGTTCTAAGCAGTTCTAAACATTTCTAAACTAAGTTGTAAACAGCCGTTCTAAGTAAAGCACCCTGCCAGCTTCGAGAGCTCAGCTGCGAGTTGGATAGGCTCGCACATCCCTGAATGTAGGTCCGCCGCAGTACCAGATCTTACTTGATAGGAGGAGATTGGTCCCGATCCAGCCACTCCAGTGCCCGCTTATCAACCTGAAGATGGTCTCGAACGGCCGCGTCCTCACTCTGGGTGACGGCCGCCACGAACAAGCCTGGAACAAACGAAACAGCGGTGTCAGCTCGGTTGCGCATGACTGCTCCCGTACCCCAAACACTCACGATACATGTTCGTGTCACGAAAGCTCTCCATGTTTACTCGTATCACAAACATCGGCCTCATTTGTCCGTGCCTGCGCGGCAGCGGCGCTGCATTCTCGGACGGCATGGGGGCTGCGTCGGGGCGCCGGGCCGTGTATAGGCTGGCGGTATCGAAATGGTTGATGCGCGACAGCCGAACGAATCAATCAGCCTGTCACTGCACGTGTTACATTACATCCATAGCCGGGCGTCATGTCATGCTGCCCGGCCTGAGTTTTATTGGACACCGGTTAAGGAGGTAATGCTTGTGCAATCACCAGCGCTCATTAGCCGCACGTCAGTCTGCTTGCACCGGTACAGGCCGCTCGCCCGCCCGCCTGGCAGGCCCGCCCGCCCGCCTGGAATCCGGCTATCTGCCGCACATCGCGCGGACCTGCCGTCCACAATGCGTCATTGTTCCCAGCGGGTAATGAGCTGATGCAGCGGGTGGACGCTGCCTGTTAGACGAGCCGCCACCTGCAGCGACGAACGCGCTCCGTGTAGCTGCTCGAGCGGCGGTGCCTTTCCTGCCTGCGGGTCACGCGCCGCCCGTCGATCTGGGTGCGCTGAGAGTCTGACGAGTTACCTTGACATTCCCTTCAACAGTGAGCCGTTCTACACATAACTGCGGACGGTGTGTTCTGTGACAAGTGTCGGGGTAAGGCTATCAGGCTGCTGTATTCGACGAATGCTACTGACTCAAGAAAGGCCTGCAGGACTATGCCGACAGATGGAACACCAAGTTACGAAGTCTTTCCAGGATGCCGCTGCCCACTGGTCCTTGGCGCCCTTCCATCGCACCCCAATGCGATTATACTTGGTGATTGAAACAGAGCGACGGCTCATATATCTCAAACCAGTTTCCCTTGCTTTTCCAACTGATCAGTTTGCAGATCGTGATTGTGATGTGTTGCAAGCACGGAGGTGGCATTAAACATTCGCACACAGATAAGCCAACAGCCTCACAAACAACAAAATTGGTACAAGCATCTCATCATGTGTATATCGGAAATGATAAACTGAAATAATGTTGACGATGTCAGGAAAGTGGTTTGGGCGATCACTCGTGGTATAACTGGCTCCGCTTTACTCATGAAGTAGCTCAAATGTTACCTACACATGTAAGCAAATATCTAGCTAACAAGCAAATGTTAAAGACGGAAGACGGTCATGAAGAAAAACGAAAGCAAAACCAGATGTTACAAACAAGTAGTAAAAGGTACCTTAATAAGAAAACGGAAAACCGTAACTACAAAAGCAGCTGTGATAGCATCCAATTATCTCGAAACAGCCTGCCTGCCATTGGCAGCCATGAAATCACTTGCCTGTTTCATATAAGCCCGTTCAAACGTTTGCATTTGGGTAGCCATGGGAAGTCCGCCATCAAACATGAGATGTGAGCAAATCCATGGTACCACTGGAAATAACTTTGTGATCTTCCAACTCAAAAACTTGCATTGTGCGAGCTGGATTGCATACGTGTGATGCGTACATTCATCTGCAGCAGACTTATTGTGAACGAAATTGACCAGAACAGATCGTTCAAGTTCATAGTCGGCAAACCTCTTCCAGCTTTACAGAATCGTAATGTCATCCATATATGAATCCTGCCATTCTGATAAGGGACACTCGGAATGTTTTCCACGTGGTAGTAAGCCGATTTCAGCGGCATTGATTGTTTTTAATGTTAGGCTGGCTTAGACGCGGTTCTTCTAGAGGCATAGTGAGGAAGTGGCTGCCACGCTCACACCTCCGAGTAAGGCGACTTTTCCCGATCTGAGCAGATTGCTTATTGGGCCAGCTACCGGTAAACTTTTGTAACACCAGCTGCTCGTTTTGAAACTTAGCTGGGGCATCCACAATACTGTTCGGTGCAATTATGCATGGGCGTAAGCCTTCATTGAATATGTGACCGCATTATTATACCATTACCAGCGAGAAGGGAGTTGAACTGAAGAGGGAGACTGTCTGGAACATTTATCCCTTCTGATTTTAACGTTTATTTACAGCTGGAGACGTGAGAGGCTCCATTTGCAATCTTTAATGTTCCGTAGATGGAATGGTCATTGGATATGTAAGTAAAGCGAATGTAGAACAACCCATGGACTTCTGCTTATCATGTAATATAAATAACACCCAAACAAGTACTCACTACACTGGGAGGTGGGAGGCGAGATTATCACTCAGGTCCAATTAAAGCCGAGAGCAAATTTCACCAATATCACTCCTCTGCTTGGACTATTACTCCCCTACATATTAGTGGCGAACCAAGAGCGTAAATCGGGATCAGCAACAGGACGGCAGGCGAGGAACACCTACCCAGAGATCGCCGCACCCTCGGACGTTACGCGCGGGCTAACTTGCCCCCACCTTCCCAGATAGGACACCAGCCCATGTGCTTGAGTATCCCTTGGTAACACCCCCCCCCCCCCCCCCCGAGCGCTGTCATGCCCCAGCTGGCGAAGGCCCCTGGGAGCGGAGGCGTGTTGGCACTTAGGCGTGTTGGCACTCAGGCGTGTTAGCACTTGCCCGCCTCCATCCTCACCCCTCTCTAATAAGACGCTCTGAAACGCTAGAGTAGCAGTGCTGTACCGCACTCAGCGTGATTCTATTCCTGCCCAGCTTAAGTAACTTCCGCCTTGCATATGAGCAATTTTTCACGATGATTGGCGCATTTGTGTGGACACGCAAAAAGGCCGCCTGCGACGAGCCGAAGTCGCGCCATACAGGTGCGCAGCCGGTGCAGCCTGCTGGCTTCCTCCCTCGCGAGACACGCTGGCCGGCTGTAGCTTTTGTTTGCTCCGCCGTGCCGCCCCGGCCTGTGATAACATCCTGCTGCATTCAGACGGCGAAAATGGCATGACGCTGTTTTTGAAACGCCTAGGTGGCGGCGAGGCTGACCGCCTCGCACCAGCGGACGCCCGGCGCCGCGCTATACAGGCAGGCCTGCACCGTGCAAGTGCACACGCACGGAACAATTACGCGATTTCCACCCCACCGTGCCTTTGATGCAAGCAGCTGCTTGAAAAGCATAAGGTGGATGTTGTTTGGATTTGTAGGATTTCTGTTTTGCTCCATGCCCTTTGGTTACGCGGTTGGGGTTGACATACACCATTTCATTTTACAGACAGTGTCGACATTAACTGCTCGCACACACGCTCGCGAAAGGAAGGTGACACTCTGGGATAAGCACACCAGCACGCATGTTCAGGCGCATGTGGAGGCAAGCGCAAGCAGACGCCTACGGAGTTGATGCCGCAATTGTAGGTGCATTCATCAGTCCAGTACATGCACATGCACGCACGCACCATTGGACAAATTGGAGGGTTCAGGTGCTTTTAGGTTGAATAAATAGATTGCTCGAAAGAAATATTTGCCAACGTGAAGCAGCCTTTCATGTCACTGCCTCTTAACGAGTTAACTGTGTGCTTTTGCTGTATGGGCACCCTGAATTGTACAAGTGGCCTTGGTTCATGGCCTGCATTGGCTCCGCTGCTTTTCTCCGGGCATGCAACGAGCTGCGCACTTTGCCACTCTTCGATACACGCATGCACATATAACGCACGTGCGAACGTACGCACGCACAGACGCATGTTTGCGCGCAGCACGCGCGCCTGTCCCGTTCCGCTACTGTGTGCTCCGTACCGTGTCGTCCGATCGTCCGCGAGAGGCGGCGCGAGCAGCCCCCCCCCCCCCCCCTCCCCCTCCTATCCCGACCACTCACCGAGACGAGCGAAGAGGCACCGCAGGAAAATGGTGCACGGCGCGTGTGCAGGCGCAAGAATATGGAAAATCGAGTAGCCAGTGCCGGCCGCGGAGATTGTTTTTTAGGTATCAGATTCTGGGAAATCACCGTCACAATCCTTAATCCGGACCGCACATGAGATAGTTCAAAGGCAGCACGAGCACGAAATATTTGGTTAGGGCAAATTACTACAGTATTAGGACAACGTAGGAGGTCTTTTCTCTACATGCCTACATCCAACTTCTGAAAAAACAACTTCAGTAGAAAACATCAGATGAAAAAATATTATTGGCCGGGGCACGAAAAACATGTGCATAGACGGGAGATAAACACAAATAAATCGTCAAAGATTCACAACCTCTACAGTTTTTTGGCAGGGGGATGTTGGTGCATATCACCCATACCTGATTAATTAAAGTCAGTGTATTTTGTGACGGGACGTATCACATCATTTTAGTGTACCGGTAAAATAAGTCGTTCACAAAATATACATAAATGGCCGCTGCTCTATACGGAGGCGAAGTCCACCGACCTCAGGCGGACTTGCGGTACGGCTATCTGGTCGGCGTTTTTGGTGTACAGGCAATGACGTCGATTTGTTTGCGGACTAATAGTGAAGCTGGCATGTACCTGACCAGCCGCCAGCCGCGTTCGCCTGCTAGACGGCATTTTGCAGTTCGACATGTGCACGGCTCGCTGCAGGTGGTATTCGACACGCTCCACTACGGCGCCGCTGAACCTTGCCATGCTGACATCAGACACGTGGTGCCATCTCCTTCGTCCCCTAAATGCATTTGCACGGAAGCTTCACGGAAGCTGCGGCACAAATATTTTGAGGAGCCGAAGTGCTGTTGCCATCTCCTCTGAAATGCATGAGACTACCATGTACCCTCTGCCAGCATCTCTCAGGCATGACTTCGGGCCAGAGGCGTCTACAGCTACGCAGCCCTGTGTGAGACCACGGATAGCAGAGCTGTCGTGCATGTGATCACAAATAAGGGCGGTGTGGTATTTACGGTCACAGACAGGGTCTGTTGTATGTGCGTAGACGGAGCAGCTGCCGTAAGAGAGGTCACAAGTAAGGGTGGTGTCGTATTCACGGTCACAGACAGGGGCTGTTGTATGTGCGTAGACGGAGCAGCTGCCGTGAGAGAGGTCACAAGTAAGGGT